CGTGAAACAAACGATTCGCAAAATTATTGCAAACAAAAAGATTTAAAACCCAAATGTCAATGTTGCCTATAGGCAATATCGGTCATAAAAGGGTTAAAAGAGTGCGAAAAAAGCTACAATCTTCGCCTCAACTAGAGCTACGGTATGACACAAATGTCCTACAGCAAAAAATTTCGGAAATAACCACACAGCAGGTTTAACCACACAGTCTAATATAAGAACCTAAGCGCCATCTGTTACTGGAAATCCAAAAGCTAGTTCCTCTCTCGAAATTGGAGCACTTCGTCAAACCAACCGCAATAACATCGAGCGCCTTGAGCCTCCACTACTTCATCAGAGCAACTGCTCTAAAGCAACCCACCAAGACGTCGTGAAGGTGCGGTAGAGCATTCAGTAGGCGAATCAAATAATTCTTAAGTCGACAAGGATGCAAACAATAAATGAGGCCAATAAGCCAATCAAAGGCATCGTCTGGAAGTCGTTCATACCCAAGATAAATATATCAGGCAGATATATGCGCAACTTGAGTGCCGTCCAGATGGAACTAATGTATCGCCAAGAAACGCAGCTACTCAGACTTGTAAATATACGAAAATTTAGATAGATTTATCTAGCGAAGATCGGTGGACAAGGTTAGCTATGCCTTTAAGAAGATCATCCCCAAGGCCTATAAAACTATCACCTATGTATGTAAACTAGGGATGTTAATTTTTTCGCTTTTCACGATCCTAGAATTTTCGGGATGTCGTTTTCACAATCCCGGGATTAGTCCCGGGATTCAGATATTCATTACTTTTCAACAACTTAAATCGAAAAAATTGCTTATATCTCTCCTACTATAAAATAAAGAGTAAATAAATGGGTTAGAAACCTACTATTTTCTTTAAAGTGACGGTTTATTTTTGCTCTCTGACATCAGGATTTATTTTGAAAGACTTTTGTAATTTCAAAGATATAATTAATTCCGAAAATGATTTAAAAAATTCAATGCAATGAATAATAAAAATATGGGTACCAAATGAAAGAAAATTTTTTAGAATATAAATAATTAAAACTTTTTGTACTTACAAGGACGAATAGGTAATTTTTTAGGCTGATAAATTTAGAAGGACGAAATTCGAGGATTTGTTAGAGAAAACATTTTAAAAGGACATTTTCAATGTTTACAGTCCTTATGAACCAAAAAATTAAATATGTTTAAATTCTGTAGAATTTCTGTTTAACTTGATAAGCATACTTCTTCTCTAAATATATTTCAATGAATTTTTTAAATCAATTTTGAATTACTGACGTCAGAGTGAAAAACTAAGTACGCAATATTACTATATTTGGCCCATGGTTTCGCGAATATATTTTGATTTTTGTGTGTAAAATTTACTGTCGCGCGGTGTTATATGTATAATAAGCTAGACATTTATAAAAAAAAATAATTTTTAAATAAAAAAAGAAATGTAGCCAATACTGGTCACAAAAAAAGGGGTTACTATTATTGCCATCAGTGCAAAGTACAAATCCCGAAAATCCCGATATTATTAGCCAAGAATTCCGGAATTTTTGGGGCCGAAAAAAGTTCGGGATCCCGGGATTAACATTCCTAATGTAAACTCTAGTTAACTTAGCGTCATTCGTAGAACCTAAAGATCGCGAACATGACATGAAAGTTTATCACTTTTGGCATCAAAATGTCATCTTATGTTCTGAGATACCCTAATGTACATACGTGCATATAAATATTGATGTTCTTCTTGTTGGATCTACCTCACAATGCCTGAGTTCGACTGGATACCAATGGCGATGGTGATGTCATTATAGCCGCATCCGATACCGCCCAGGATGGTAAACTCATAAATAATGTTGGCGCTAATTGTAGAAAGTTTACTACTTCACTAATTGCCCCTTCTCTACATACGTACATACATAAATAGATGCACATGCATCAATATGCACTCCTTTCTCTCAATTAAATTTTCATTTCATTTATATTTTACTATGTTGAACAGACGTACGTATGTACGTATTTATGTTCGTATGAGTGCATCGGCATTTATGCACTAGTAAATAATTGAATGTTGAAATTTAATATGTAATTTATGATTGCTTTTAGCGCTTTTATTTCTTTTGAACTTGCATGTTGGACGATCTATAAGCAACCACATTATTAACACAACGTAGAAATAAGAAAAACAGAAATAAAAAATTCTGTCTAAATGTTTGGAGGAATTTGTGAGACAAGAAGCTCATTAAGATGAGCAAAATTAGCGCTTAGACGATTTCTAAAATGCAGGGGCCTAAGCTGACCTTAAAGAGCTGCGTCCTACGCTCTCTTTTAAGCACAGGAGCGCCAGGAGATATTTTTTGCATATATGTAAATGCAAAGCATACAGGACCACTCTAATAGGCAATTATTGGACGATACCAGAAAAAAAAAAGAATATATAGGAGACAGAAAGAAGTGTGCACGAAGAGCTGGAGATCCTAGTTGGAAGGTATAATAATAATAATAATCGATAGGCGCTTACACACCATGCTAGTGTTTGGCCGAGCTTGCTTCTCGTCCGATTTGTGGCGTGCGCCTTGATGTTATCACACCAAGAGGAGGGGGACCTACAGTTTTACTTCGACTCCGAACGGTGATTGAATGTTTATGTGAAGCTGTTTCTCATAACAGAAATACACTCCGAGGGTCGAACGCGATTAGAAAAATCGTTCGTTCTTTTGTCTTCGATATCGGAAACTGGGCTCGATCTCGAAATTCTCTCGAAATTCCTATACTTTTTTAACAAACTTATCTCGAATTGAAAGAGATAGAAATAAGAAAAAAAAAAAGAAATAAGCTAGCTGTTTTTGCTGCTGTTTCTGCCGCTGCACCTCGATTTCACTTGCCCTCCGATTGCATGTGACATAAATCTTTTCAACCCGGCAGTTAGACTGTCAGACTGTCACACTATAAAAACGCAATGTTGTTTTTATTATTGTTGCTATTTAGCCTGCTTGCATAACTCTTGGCCGCTGTTGCCGCTCCCTCCAACGCCATTACCACCACAAACTTCGCCAAGTGTTGTTAATGAGTTCTTATGTCAAATGGCGTAAAAATAATGTCAACTTGAGTAATGGCAGCAGGCAGCAGGCAGCAGGCGGCAATACGCACTTGCCGCCATAAAATATACGGAGCGAGAAAAGTCAAATGGCAGAACTCATGATCACGGCGCAAAACAGCAGCATCAACAACAACAACATTATCAGAAGAAATTTTTATCATCAGCTACATAGTGAGTGAGTTCATAATCATCATTAACACTTGAAAATACGCAATGAGGATGCAGGCGCACTTATGTATGTATGTATCTATGTATACTAGGGTGATCCAAAAAAAAAGTAAAGTCGGAATTTAATGCTCTCACTCCCTTGCCATATACCGAAAAAATTATACCCTTGTTTTTTTGTTTTTTTTTTTTTTGAAATCAAAAAATATTTAGAGCTCGCTTAAAGCACTCAAAGTTTTTCAAGTATTGTATATTTTCCCATCGATAAACTCTGCTTCTCTCAACCGACTTCACAAAAAGAAGAAAGGTTATCAATTCGTCGGAAAATATATATATATTTTTTTTATGTATGTTGCCGCATAACTTTGACCACGTTAACCGATTTCTATAATTTTGAAAGAAAGGGTGTTACCTCACAGGTGGTCCCATATTAATTTGGTTTAAATCCGATAATCGGATCATGAGGAAATTAACGAAAATCTTAAAATTTTTATATGATAATTGAAGTCGGTTTGGTTTTTTGCTTAAAAATTACTTGTTTAAGTAACTATTTGTTTAAAGGTCCTCTAAAAACACCAAAAAAAAAATGCAAACGGACCCATAAAGAATCATTAGTATGGAAAAATTGTTAAATAAACAATTGTATTTTAGTCTCCTGAAGAGATGCAGAGTTTTCGGATCAAAATATATTGATCCCCAAGAATTCAATGTATATCATTTCAATGAAAAATTGTTTTCCCCCAAATTTAAAGCATGGCAACCTTTGAGCGCTTTGAGCGACCTCTAAATATTCTTTGATTTCAAAATAAAACATGGGTAACATTTTTTGCAATATAGAATAATCCCAGAAATTACAGAGTTTACCTTTTTTTTTTGCCCACCCTAGTGTATACACAGATCATTTACTGGCAAATTATGTACATTGCTACGTACTGCCGCATGAGTACTATATTCTCCTATTTCATGACACCACTTGACACTTTCTTTTACTTGTATGCGCTAAATTTCGATTTTTTTTATTCCTTTTTCTGGTTGGTTGAGTAATTTTTAACATTTTGTTAAAGTACCACGCGGCGGCCTTAAACTCAGAGCATCCTTATCCTGTTGCTTCAATTTTAGTGTTCTTATTTTTAGACGCTTGTCTTCGCAAACGAAGTTTAATTTACAAAATTAGGCATATGCTCATATTTTAATAAAAATAATGGCTTATTTCAATTTAAAAATAAATATTTGCAGTTGTTGCTTGCCCGTCAAGCCTTTCAATTTAGCTGCGTCAGGCTGTTGTTGGCGGCAGCCAAGAAAATCAGGAAGTCAACTTTGCTGGCAGCCTAAATGAAAATGAGCTGCTGTTGATTTTGTGAGAATAAAATAAGGCAAATTAAAGAAGTTTGTTGTACCTTTCTTTTTTTACGCTAACTACTGGCGAATTGTGTGACTTATGCGATGACTGACCCAAAATAAAATAGTGTTTAAAAAGCGAACAGGCTGCTAACTAAATTGGATATTTACTGACAAACTTGTATCGTGAGTAAGCAGTCTAATCAGTCGAGTTCCAGAACGTAGACGATGGGCCCAAGAGAGATGTTAATAGGTTCTATAAATGAGTACATGTCACACAAACTTGAAAGGCTAGATGATTTTGAAAACAACCGAAAGCACGTTTTACTTTGGTTTATTACCTATTTAAACGATACATAATTTTTAATAAAAAAATAAATGCAAGTATAAGTCACTTACCAATTTTGTTAGTTAACTATTGCGGTTTAGATAGTATGAAGATATTAATTATCAAATCTGAAAAAAAAAACAGAAAATAAATGTTATAAAGTTATTATTAAGTTTTATTGTCTATAACGATCCATAACGAATATAAATATATACAAAATATTAAATAAAATAATAATAATGTATAGTATATAATATTGAATATATATGGCGCATTCAACCTCAAATCGGACACCACTTATCTTTTGCATTTCCGCTTTTTTCATTATTGGTTATGTTATAGTACCAATTGACCAATGCCTTCCTGATATTTGTAATTTTTTTTTTTCGTCCAGCCGTTTTCGAGATATCTAATACTGAAAAAAGGTTCCACTTTTTAAATTTCCATAAAATGTTCCGATTCGAACCTTGTTTTTTGAATTTTTTTTTAAAACCCTTTTGGAATATAAAATCGAAAAAAATTACAAATCCGTATTTATAAAAAATTTATGTAATAATTCCAGATTTTTAATGTAAAATGTGTTTTTTCAAAACACGCATTTTATATAAAAAAAATTCTAATTTTATAGAAAAACTGTTTTCAAAATTTATTCGACATTATAGTTCAAAAATGTTTCGAAAACGAAAAGTTAGGGTATTTTTTTATTGTCACTGTCATGTATCTCCGAGGGACTTCAGACCAATCAGTCTCTCCTTTTTCTTATTGAAGACTATTGAGACTTATTGACTTCCATATAAGAAACAGGATTCATCGAGAGCGATTGAGCCTCTCTCAATAGGCCTATCTAAAGGGTAGATCCGTAGAATCTGCCTTGCACACAATTGTCAAAGTCATAGAGGAGCAAATATTTTGATATCGAGAAAGCTTTAAATAATGTGTTATCTGGGGTGATAATAAGAGCTCTGACTAAGCTCGGAGTCGAGAACTACTTAGTTACGCTCATCTCTCGCATACTGCACGACAGAACTGTCACAGTGGAATGGGACAATGCCTCTGGCTAGCGTAAAGTAAGCAGAGTCACTCCGCAGGGACTTTTCTCTACATAGTCGTGATAAACGATGTCCTGGAAGAGCTGGAAAGGAGAGGATGCTAGGTTACTGCCTACGGGGATGATGTGGCACACATTGCCAGAGGAAAGTTCTTGGACACTCTGTATGATCTTCTGCATGGTACCTGAACTTGGTCATAAATTGGTCTTCTAGCTGCGCACTTGCTATAAATCCTGGAAAAACGGAACTCAAACTATTCGCCAGGAGGTATAAAGTGCCTCATGACCAGTTTCCCTCAATAGGGGGTGTTTCGATTGTTTTTTCTGACAGAGTGAAGTTCTTTGGCTGGATCCTGGACAGCAAGTTATCATAGAAGCAAAATATTGAGGAGCTAGTAAAAAAGGCATCGATGGCTCTTTACTGCTGTAAAAATGTTATGGGGAAGAGATGGAGCCTCTTCCCAAGAGTGTTATACTCGCTATATGAAACCATAATCAAGCCAATCATGTTATATGGTTTCATTGTCTGATGGAATTCACTGGAAAAATCTACTCTTGTTAGGAAGCTAGAGCGCTTGCATTGGGCGGCCCTCGTTGGAATCACCGGAGTGCTCCGGACCACTTCAACTCTAGCGCTAAATGCTATACTCAGCGTTGCATATTTATGCAATAAATCATTGGGAATAAAAGGCAAATGGCAAATGACTAAATATCTATAATTGCCTGAGTGCAAGCATGTCAACTGTAATATAGTAAGCCCATTTGGAAATGATTGCAAGTATAATTTCTTCCATCATTTTCTACAAAATAGAGTTCAAGAAAGCAAAAGCAATTCAACGATCAACCGATGCGAACAGAGAAGAAAAAATACATAAATGGCATGAAAAGTCAAACAAGACTAAAACAATCATAACAATTGCTATACTAGTACATCCAGAGTTGACCAACAATCTTCGAAGAATTGTTGCAGCAACAAAGAGCAAATGGCGGCTGCAATGATTGAAGCTATTTTGAATTTCAATTAAAATTGCAGAAAAACTGGACAACAATTGTGAGAGATATAGAAAACGAATGAAATAAAGATAAACAGCAAAGTAAAAGACGTCAAGTACAAGTGCTTGAAAATGAGGCAATCGCACACAAAACAGGCCACACAATGCGAAAAGGAAAGGAACCCAATGGATGGATGGAGGCAGCAAATGCCATGACAAACGGCCAACAGCTACACAGCAGCATCATTCGACTTGTAAATACCTACATACACATACATATATTGTTTGTAGGGCAGCTTTGTTGGTTGCAACTTGCAATTACTCGTAAGAAACACCAAATCTCCTGACAATCGAATAATCGCACTGATATCAAGCAAGCAGTAGACGGCGCATTGCGCTCTTAGAGCTCAGCGGGCTAATGCCGTATAGACGGCGGCACAAAGGAGATGTATACAGAGCAGTGACGGAGCGACAGATCTTGTAAATAATAGAAGAAGAAATTTAATTCCAAAGACATCACGCTGCAACTTGACGATTGCAGCAGACTTACAGACAGATAAATAGACGAACAGGCGGACGGGCGAACCAGAAGTAGACATACAAGATTTGCGCGTCTCTTTTTTTTTCTGTGCTTGCATCTGGCCCCCATTCGCACTTACTTCACGCGCTTTAAAGTGTCTAGTCCACAATGCTGCACCAACGCAGACAGCAGAGTTTCATGCAACCAAAGAAAAATATCCAAGTATTGGCCCTTTGGCTTGGTCGTCGCCTGACGCTCCACCACCTAACTGGCTAGCTAGCTAGCGATCTGCCTGGTTGGCTGGATGACCGAAAGTAAGAGATAGATGTGAGAAATTCGCACACGCCTCGAGCAACGCATTAAAATTCTACTTTAGATTTCGCACGCTGTGTGAATCGCGCGAAAATTACAAAATTGCAGCATCCTCTGGTAAAAATTTACAACGTGTCGTCCAACTCTAACATAACTGCATATGCATATATGTATGTACATATGCCTACAATACACAAATTCCCAAGTACAAATATTTAAGCTCGTGCGAAAGTTGAGTGTTAATGCGAAATTTCCCTTTTAACTTAATTGCAGAAATATCTTCCTCTGTACTGAACGCACGTGCATATATTGGTATTGTTAGAGGTAAGAGTCTTGCTTTCTTTCGGGCATTTGTGTTTTTGCTCATTATTCTCCTAAATGGCATCTAATTTGCTAAGCTCAAAGAAAATAATTTCACCACATAAAACCACTGTGTTTGCAATTCTACGTATCATCACCTAGAGGTATTTGTGAAAACTAACAGATTTATTGTACTATCTATTCTGCACAAGACCTCGTCTAATTTTAAAGTCCGCAGAAAGTGCAGTGAATGGTTTAGGGCAGAAAATATATGTATGTGTCCATACGAGTACTTTAGCCAGTCCTTTATTTTAACCCCCTGTCCTTTATAATTTTTTTCAAAATAAAGGACGCCTTTTGTCCTTTATTTCTTAAACTGTCCTTTAAATCAGCTCGCATTTTTCAGAGGTAAACTTTTAAACACAGAATATGAAATATAAAAATATCCCTTATAAAATATAATGAAAACCTTCGCCAGTTTGGCTCGCACCCCACTTAAGGGTTTCTACATAATCGGTAATCTTTGTACAATCTATAAGCACAGAGAAAGTTGTGCCCAGGATCGTGTTGCATGCTGAGTTTCCACTTCCACTGAAAAATAAAAATAAACCCCTTGCTGCACAGAGGTTAAAAACTGGCATTTAGTGTTCGTAATTCACTGGAGCCTTCATCTTTTTCACTTAATTTGATTATTTTGCCTGAGCCAGATTTGTGGATTTTTATTTAATTATATTAAATTTTTTAGTATAAAATATAGAAAAAGTAGCAATTTTGAAGAAAATGTATTCTCCTGTTCCAGTGAATAAGTGTTACAAAGCAAACACTAGTTGAAAACTATTGTATGGTTTTCCCAAACGAAAAAATTACACAAAAATTGGAAATGTTTTAAAAAATGTTCACCAAAATAAATATTTTTTTTTAGTTTTTAGTAAAAATTGGTTGAAAAATGAAGGCTCCGGTGAATAATAATAATAATAATAATAGTTTGGCGCTTACACATATGTTAGTGTTTGGCGTGCGCCTTGATGTTGTCACACAAAGCGGGGGGACCTACAGTTTTACGCCGACTCCGAACGGCGATTGTACATATATTTATGAGAAGCTGTTTTTCATGGCAGAAATACACTCGGAGGTTTGCCATTGCCTTTGGTTAAAATGGTCTCCGTAATATACTGTACATATACGTGATTTTTGGTATGCCTACAGTGTTCTCTATTGGGGAGATGTGGGTGGTTGGAGCTTTCTATTACTCAGCTTTGCAATTAGCCTCGGTTATTTGATATCCACATAAGTTGAATTACATTATTCTGGGCTAACCCATTCAGAGATTTGCGGCATTCAGTAAGGAACTTTGTATTGCCAATGTGCAACTTTAAAGCTTACAAAGCTGCCTGACTGTCCGCTGATATTAAGACTCGATTCCTGTCTGTAGGTTTTAAGCAAGGCTTCATCCTGCCTCCTAAATACCCAACACTTCCGCTTGATATGCACTGCGGTGGCCTGGGACCAGAAAAATTTATTTGACACAGTTAAGTAGAGTAAACTCCCCTATCGATTCTTCTTTCAAGCTTGCAGCTAAATACATATCTCAATTCCGCTAAGTTTTTTAATAACGTTATCATCAGCTAGAGCTCCACAAGAAAGTATGAGTCGCACTTTAGCCATGCACAACCAATAGATGGCTAGTAATGATTTCGGTTTGATATGGTGTGCTCAACGTTAGCAAATCGACCTGGGGGAATCTGGCCAAACTTTCACCTAGCTATACAAAGTCTTAGCGCCGAACAGACAGGATCGTGTTTAGTAGCATGTTGTGAGATAACTTTTGAATGATGAATAATGAAAAGTATGAGTTTGCCGAAAAATGAAGTCCTGGAAGTTGGATTTAATGAACTCGGATTATCGCCTTCATTGCGATACTACTGCTTTGAGTCTTTTTCTACCGAAACTGCTAGA